ACATTAAAAGACATACGTGGGCACAGCATCATCTTTTTAATTACCATTGACCCTTGGCCATCAGAACAGTCTGCCCATCTATGACGACCCTATTGAAAATTCCATCAAGGTACGTAATTTGGGACACTGACTGCCAGTCAGCAGCCTTGGTGGAACGTGATGGACCATCAGACGTCATCTGATGGTCCATCAGATGACGTCTGACTGCCACTGCCAAGGGAATTTCAACAACAAGGGCAGCATTTATATAAGAGTAAAGCTATACGCACTCATAAATATCGCCAAATGCCTCGATAAAACAAAATGTTCGAGAAAAAAAAAAAAGCAGGACAACCGCGGATTTGAACCCGCGACCACTTGCGTACAAATCGCACACCCTAACCGCTATGCTATGGGACCGTTTTTGAAATTCGATTTCACAAATCGTTTTATACGAGATGCTTCGGCTGCAAATGCAGTTAAGCCGTCAGCATGTTATGCAAAGCACTCGTACATCACTCGTACATCACTCGCCGTACTTCAGTTCTACTCACCTGCCATGTAGAGTACTTTCGCGTCGTAGAACGATCCTTTTGTTCGCGCGTCACCGGCCCAGTAGACCTGGTACACCTTGTCGTCTTCAACTACACCGCTAAAGTCCCTTACATCGTCGGAACTCACAACAGGCTGGGTCTTGTCGGGTAGAAATTCTACTAAAACATAAGTCATTGTAGAACCCTGGCAGGATCGACAGGTTGGAGCAAGCGGGCAAACAAAACGAGTCGAGAGCGATCGTCCATGAAAGCTCGGCGAAGCGGCGAAGCCTCTATGGGCGAAGCGAAGTGTCGTTTTCGGCGCTTCGGCGGGCTTCTGATCAAGGTTGTCGGTCGGTTGCGTGTCAAATATCTAACGTCAGCGGTTTTATGGGCTCACGTCCCGAAATCGTTTTCTCGTGCCTAGATTACTTTTCGTATTCATAGATTTGACGAAATAGTGGTGTCCGAACGAGCTTTACGTCCTTTGACCGTACGTCTGTCTGCACGTCAAAGCTTTTTGACGTACAGTCAGAGACAATCGATGTACAGTCAGAATCGCCACCAAGACATCCTGATGGAATTTCGCGGCGGCCGACTGCCACCAGGAAACCATCAGAAAGCCGACAAGCAGAGTCTGACTGGAGTTTGACTGTCGGTTAGAGTAACTTGTTGGCCAATCAGACATGCTTGACGTACAGTCAGGCACAGTCAGCGGTCCACTAGAAAACATTGACTGCCAAACAGGGTTACATTGATGGATTTTTCCTTCGGGGAGCGAGTAATGACGATTAGCGTTGTCGGGCTAAAAATGAAAATCGCAGTGTCTTTTTTTCTTTTTTTTACGTGAACATAATTTTTTTTTTTTTTTTTTTTTTGAGGGATCGCGTTTTGTCATACTTTCAGGCGCACAGCATTCTTCGGAACGGTAAATTAGTGGCGCTTCTCTTCACTTTCCGTCGCTTGTGAGGCACCACCCGCTGCGACAGCCGGGAACGCAGCAGGTCGGCATGCTCGCTCATTGACTGGCGAGCGGCTCAAACCTCCAGGAGCAAGAAAAGAACACTTACGAGCCTACGACTATGCTCCGTTCACCCTTAAACTGAGACTAGAAACTCCGCCTTCCGCGCGAGCTATCTGCCCTTGCTAACACAAGTGTGAATGCACAGGCACGCGCAACCAAAGCACTGCGGAAGCCAGCGAGCTCGCGCTGAAGGCGGAGCTTCTAGTCTCAGTTTAAGGGTGAACGGAATAGCCACCAATGACATGAGCAAGGATACGAGGAACAACAGCGAGCACGAGACGGAGACACTACTGAGAATCCATCTTAGAGCGACTCCAGCGCCACTTCTCGCGCGCTCTACGAAATGGTGCCACGCCTGGAAGTGAGTTCCCAAACTGACCCCTCTAGTAAGTAATGTTGCCTTAAACGAAGCTTTTACTACACGACCGTACGTGCATGATATGCACGATCAAAGCGCGGCCCTTGTTCTTGTAGCTTCACGCGCGGGCGTTCTTCTTCCTCCTCGAACTCGGTCGAGCGTCTGAACTTTGCACTATCAAGGCCTTGCACTATCAAGCGTCCTAGGCAAACTCCAGCTATGGTGCCCGGCCCCCTCCCCCCCCCCCCCCCACCCCTCTTTCTTTCTTTTTTTTTTTTATACTAGGTACGGCATTACTTTTTTAGTAAAGACGTGAGGAGTGGTCCTTGTCAGCCGAGAACCGCATTCCAAAAACGAGCGGCGATCGAACATATACACTCTCAGAAAAAAAGGTGTATTATTACACCCCTTGTCCCATATAATACACCCAAAACTTCAATTCGACGTACAGCGCCCCATAATCGAACAGGCGGCCCCAAAGTTTACGAGGGGCTTGATAGCCGTGTGGTACAACTTATTAAGATAGCTGACGTACGTATTATTGACTACAAAAAAGATTATCGGAGTTTTCTTGGCCGCACTGCAAAAGCTTCATGTTTTCTTCCTTTGGTCTTTGATACGTGCTTTAGCAATTTAATAAGTTATATTGCACCGTTATCAAGCCCCTGGAAAACTTTCGTGCCGTCTGTTCGACTCTAGGGCGCTGTACGCCGAAATGAAGTTTTGGGGTGTATTATATGGGACAAAAGGGTGTAAGGTGATACCCTTTTTTTTTAGAGTGTAGACCGACACGCAGCCCTGACGTCACGCAGCTGCGGTGGCGCTGTCGACGGCACGGCGCATGCGTAGACGGTTCACTTTACGCGAATTCGCTTTCTACGCACGCGCGGTGCCCACACCTGGTGTGGGCAAACGCAGGTTTGTTTGTAAACAGCGTGTCGGTCTATAGGGGATATTCACGGGACGCCATATTGTTGGCCCTTGTTTCACAGCGCATGCTCAGAACTATATCTTTTATTTATCGTCTTCCAAGAACTGCGATACTGGTTGTGTGGAATGAACGTTGAACGTGCATCCTCGTGCATTCCCCGCGGGCAGTGAAGTCAAAGCTATATGCCGGGTACCCGTGCGCTCGCCAAAACTTGAGCATCGATTAAAGCTGTGCACGAGCCGTGATCGCTTCTTCTGAAATGCCCAGAAAAGCTGTACTTGAGCATCGTTCTGAGCATGCGCTGCGAACGACGTCCAACAAAATGGCGTCCCGTGAATACCCCCTACAGAGTGTTGGGCGCTGTGCTCAAATAAATAAAAAAAAAATTAAAAAAAAAAAAGAATCACGAGCCCCCTTATTGATGCCGCTTTGTGCGACCGCCCAGGTCGCCCATCCCAAGTCCGGTACTGCCGTGCTTTCGACGTCGAGGGCACGTGACGCCTGGCGGCCATCCGAATCGTGGGAAAGACATAAAAAATCACGCATGGGAACCGACGATACTGACAGCAGACAACTTCGAGCGGGCACGCAGTCGCACGAACGCGCTGCTTACAAGCGAGCGGACTTTAGCCACGTCAGGTGTGGGCACTGCGCGTCTAGCTGCAGGAACTCGATTTGCTGTGCCCGCTGCGGCATGACGGCAAAGACACGCGTTGATCCATAAAATGTTACAAGCTCAGGCTGGAGGCGATGCAACTCAAAGACCTCCCTATAGTTCATAATGTGGTAGTTTCTAGAATAGTTCATAATTATTTTTACGCCTTGTCGAACTATAACTGTGTGCAGTACACGTGAGGCACACGCTCGCCTCGTCTGTCAATATTCGATCATATGTTCAGTCAGTAAACCGGTGGCCATCTCGTTATTTCGTCAAAGAAAGCGAAAATCTCGGACAATTTTATAACAATAGGCGGTTTTCGCACAGTAGGCAAAGTACTCAGTATGAACGGATTTACCAAAGTTCAACGTTGGCGCCTTTCTTCAACAATGGAGACCGCTACACGGCCTCGTGCTCGGATCGAGATATTGCATAATGTCGACGACAGATGGCGCCACACGACTGAAAACGTCGAAAGCGCGAACGCAAGGTCGGCTTCGCAAGGTGCGTCTGCGCTGGTTGCGCGCGCAGCGATGCCAACACATCGCAATTTCGACAGGTTGACGTGACGTCATGCACAGGCTAACACTACTGAGGTGGTTGAGTTGCCGCTCGAAGTTTTCAGCCGCGTGAATATAAAAGGTCATCGGGACCTGAAAGCTCCAAACCCAAACTCTGTTCGCAGTCTCCTTTTCTTTTTTTTCTTTTTTTTCTTTTTTTTATGTCCAAGTATTTGAGTGGACAGGTCACCCGGTAACGTGCTTCCTGTTCATGTTTGTTTGTTTGCGTTATTTTATCTACTGAATAAGCTGCGCGTAAAAAATGGCACGCCACCGACGTGGTTTTAGATTTCGGATTCAAATGCTACCGAGTTGTCCAATCTACAGGCCATGTCGCTGCTTATCTAATGTACGACTTCTCTGCAAAGGCTGCGCCCGCCCACTTCAAAAATGCGCATCGGTCGCAATAAACAAGTAAAGAAAAAATTATATTGCGCGCGCGAGAGAGTACGAAGCGACCCCAAGGAAGCGTGACGTGACTCTGCCTCGTAATTTTGCTTACTTGCTTCTCGATAATGATCTCTTCAGAACCGGTTCCCCGCGGACTGCACTTCTTTATTCGTTATATCACAATGGCCTCCTCTGGCCGAACGGCGCACCACAACAAACTGGTTTTCGACTGGCCACTTTCAAAATAACATACGGGCACACCACTGACGTAAACACGACGCGCTTTCAGTCAGCGCGACCGCTCTCTAACATGTATCGCCGACAGACCGTGCAAACTTCTCGAAGCGCTGTCAGGCCTCTCGAACTGTACTAGGAAATACCAGATAGTTGAACCGTTCAACTGGACGATTTAAACGATGCAAGCCGGTCTAAATCGACCCGGAAAACACGATTACCTGACCGCTGTCCGCTGAATCGCGGAGCAGCGCCGCTTCGCCGCGGAGAGGTACGGCGCGGCGTAACGAGTGCAGCCATCTGGTGGTGACGCTGAGAGCTAGTCAGTGCACCATGCTTGCCGCTCTGGTAGGGCTGGTGGTCTGGAGCTTGTGCTCTGGACTCGGGGCGGCAGCCCTGGCCAGCAACGAAGTCACCGACAATTTCTTGCTGGATACACTCGGCCTAAGCGGAAGTGAACCGTAAGTCGTTTTGCTCTAGCAGACGCGTTTCGCAGCCGGAGCGCCTTTTCCGGCTCGCGTACCAGCCCTCTTATGGAAGGGCAAGACCTGGTACCTGCCTCAGGTAACCAATCGAGAAATAACGCAGAAACGGCATGTAAAGGCATGTTCTCGCTATCTGTGTAACTTGGAGACGGTTTGCAAAAGAAAATGTCAAGGAACGATCGCCTCGAAATTCTGCATCGCGCTCATAATGGACAATTTAATTGCATTCCAGGGAGTCAAAGCGTCACATGGGCAGGGCCTCGCAAAAGGCGTTTGATGGTTTCAAATTTCTCAAGGCGGTCGTGCTTGGAGGGCCGTCAAGAAAACGACGCGAAAGGAAACCGATCCTAGACGCAGTTCGTCGGTGTGTAAGCAGCTGCGGCGCGCGTAAACAGGTGTTCAAGCCATTCCAGGGAGCTCGCGCACCTTCGAGTAGTTTGTGGGCGTGTGCTCTTCGGGGACTAGGGCGTAGCGGAAGAGCCATCGAAATGACGTTTTTATTTGTTTTTCCTTCTTCCACTTCCTTCTTTTGTCTTCGCTTTAACCATGACATAGTTAGCGAACTGAGTCACAAAGGTGAGTTTCTGAAAGGACGGTAGCGGAATGTCGTAAACGTTCCGTAGATGCATCGACGTTGGATTCTTTCGCAGCTACGCGCGTCTCTGAAGGCCACTCGCGGCCATTCCAAGACGCTGCACATGTCGAGAGGAGGCTCGAATTTGGCGCGTCACGCCTGGCTTCGATGCCTTGGGTGTCAGCACTTTCCAGGAGAATCGGACACATTTGAATAATCTGGTGGCGGTTTCTCCAACCGTCGACGGACGGGAGATTCCCGACACTGCATTTATCCATAGAAGGATTTCCGTCCTTCGATTTAACAGCGTCTCTGTCTGGTGGTCTTCTCGGTATTGCCATCTCTAGCTTTGACTTTAAAGTGAAACCTTTGACTTTTAAGTGAAACGAAGTATACATACACTGGTCTGTTAAGCCGATAGACAGTTAGTTTCACGCTGTGGAAAATCTGCCTGCGTGGAGATGGTGGTGAAAAAGAATTACTGTTGGGTATTAACCATGTTGAATTAACCTGAGACTACGTTTTGATGTTTCTTCTCCACCCCAGTCTCAGGTTAATTCATCATGGTTAATATTCACCCCAGCAGCTCGCCTGCACCCTTACATTTTTTTCTACTGTTGGGTAGCCCACGTTTCGATGCGAAAGCAGCCTTCAGTCCTTTAGCTTCCGGCGGTTTATACGGACATGCAAAACGATGGCTCGCGAACGTTTCCAATAAGCGACGTCCGTTGTCTCGAGTAACGCAAGCGATATTCGCGGGCAAAGTCTGACCAGTTCTCCTTGGCGGATGCGTTTACTTGTGTTTCGGTTGTAGACATCTCTGGTCGACCCGACGCGGAGAGAAAGAGCTAGCCCAGCCCGCCGTGAGAAGAGTGTTAAACCGTGACTCCCGCCAAATGGCCAAACACGTGCCCCTCTGCTGTCTGCTTATTTTTGTTGCATGTCTCGGAGGGTACGGTTGCATTTCCACCTATCAGTTGGAACGACCGGAATCTTCTCAAGATCTCTCCCTATAGTCCTCAAGAATTTCCCTGCAACCGTCTCTCTGTAAAGTTTAGCGTACTATCTTAATCATAGTTAACGGGAGCACGTGGCATTGGGGACTATCAGAGCAGTCGAACGAACCGGCGCTCAACTGCAGCGCACCCGCTATGATGCGGTTTCGCGTCTGGCCGTTAGTGTGGTCGATGCCACGCGCTCCCGTGTTTCTCTAACCGTGATTAAGACAGTACCTGAACGCTACCATAACTCCATTTCACTCAAAGTGGCCGTTTCAGTGTGACGAGAGCTGTCTCAATTAACGGAACATTCCTTGGCACTGTATAACCATGTGTAAAGAATACATTGAAGGGGCATTTTGGAAAGAACGCCCGGGTTCTACTTCATACTGAACACGAAGCTGCCAGTCTCTCGTTATCCAAGCTAAGCGCTGTGCATTCAAACCCTCTGTACTCGGGCACTTGGCGGCTCACACGTCGAATCGTCCAGGCTCCAGAGATGTCTGACACGTGGCGAATACCCTACCAGTGCTGAGCGAACGCGTCCCTTTCTGTCCATCGTTGCATAGACGTGTCCAACTTGCGCGGTTTCAGTATAGTTTCGACCACCGTGCGGTAAAGCTGGCAAAGGTCGTAGTCCCGTTTTGTCTTCTCTCCTGCGAGGAATAATGTCGCCGTCACGTACTAAGACCTTAATACGCCCAGTACGATGACGGTGAAACCGTGCAGCAAAACATACGCCAACCGCGTGTCGTCGTGCATTGTTTGGGACGTTCTTGGGTTCCTCTCGAAGGCAATCTTCAGCTCTGCGCCTCCGTCTCGCAGGGCATATACCTGACAGCTATTATTACAACGTGCGTAGTGAAGCGTGAAATGACACGCCCCCCCCCCCCCCCCCCCCCTCTCCTCTCGCCATTGTTTACGTGTAGTTAACTAACCACGCGCCTCTATATTTTGAAACTCCAATCTCCGTTTTTGTTTTTCCTTCAGAGTTTTTTTTTTTTTTTTTTTTTTTCCACGTTCCGCCTCGGAGCTTTGAAAGAATGCGGTTAAGCGTTCCACTAAACGGCGTATTGTTTCAGGGTTTTGCGGCGTTGCGTCCACCAGTGTCGAATCCTCGCTTGTCACACTTCGAGATCGGCATTTCGCGCCATTTCTCTCTCTCTCTCCAGCGCGCCCTGTCGAAATTGGTGTCGCTGGCCTGGCCGGCCGCATTTTGTGACGTGTTGAGGTCCTCGTCCCTCATTGGTTCGTCTCGCCACCAATGGTGCAGAGAAGAGGGCTCCAAACCAGAGACTGGTGAAGCGTCGCGCCCGAATCTCAGTGCTTCGAATGGGTCGTGCTTTTATTACTACCGTGTCGTTCGTTTGCTCGTTTGTTTGGTAACCGGTTTGTTGATAGATTTTTTTTTTTTTTTTTTTTTACTTTTCGCGTACCGCTTGGCTGAACGCGCAGGTGTTTATCGCGTCATGCATGTCGTAATGTTCAGCGAACACCGAGAATCGATTCTTTTGAATGATCGTTACGTGCTGGTGCACGGTATACGAATAACATTTTACCTCTATGCATCCACATTTGGCTGGTAATAATTGAAGGGGTGTTTGGTTAGGCGTGTCTGATTTAGGGTTCGTATTCCTCCCGACACTGAAGAGTACTATGATGAGATTATTGCTACGTCGAGATTCGCTGGTGTCTGGTGCAAAATTAATGCCGAACGATGAAATGAACGCGTTAGTACGGGCTTTGTTTACTCATTCTTTACTGAACAGAGGTCGTAAGAGAACCTGTTAGTATTCGCACTTTCTATTGAACCTTAACACGTGGAGACGTTATTGTTTTTAAGCAGACACCGCTAGTCGTTTCACATAAAAACACAGCTGGAAAAATAGCACGCACAATCTTGCATTACTCTGTGTAGTCTGATCTAGAAAGTGCGGCTAATCGTGTCGTGTGGTAGAGCAAGTGCTGCACACGTGTGAAGGAGTTTAAAAAATTAACAAAAAATAACCAGTGGTAGCCTGTAACATAATTATCTCATTTAGAATATTGCGGAAACTTCCTTGCGATACCGCGGCATACCCTCGAAATAAAAACTAACTTTAAGAAGAGCTGCTCCTTTGTCTTACAGCATTTTGGCAGCATGCAGCAGCCAAAACCGCCTATCGTAGTGAAACGTGCTTACGGCGTGCAAATTTGTGGTGGCAGTACGCTTTTTTCGCATTTGGCATAGTGAGGGTAGTTACAGACAACCAATCTCACCGCTTAAGTTGGTGCCTCGTCGGATGAACATATTCCACCCCAGTTTTCCACAGCGTTTTACTTGTGACAGAAATACAGCAAAAGTTGGAGATCTCTTGTTCGTGATACCTGTGTTGCGCCCTGTCCTCCCGTATACCACCTGAAAACGACAGCCCGTCTGATGAATTTGGGTATAAGGCTGCAATGCAAGCCCGAAAGGCGACGTCACTCCAATTCAAACAAGGCTTACTCTCCTTTCTTTCCTTTCTTTTTTTGTATACATTGCTGGTACATTATGTCTCCGAGTTCGTGCCTAGGTTAGAGAGGTCGAACTGCCCGGAGAGAATGAGACGACCTTTCTGTTCCGCTTGAGACTGACACTCATATTCGCGCGGAACAGGGATACAGCAAGAAACGCCGGAATAGCTTGGAAGCGTTACTAAAAGGTATACAATTTGTTTTTGCAGGTTAAACTTTGAAGGCGCATAAACGGTTGCTGGGGAAATAGTGTGGGAGTCGAACGCTTGAATTTAGCAGAGGTAATTGTTTTATTTGGGGGACGAACGGTTCTATAGGTGTCAGAAATAATTATCGGCGGTCTTAGTGACTTTGCCTCCCTTTTCAGTCCGCTTGCATTCACTTGCACTGCCACATCGTTCCCCCTTGAGCTTCAGTTCGGGAAACGAGCCTCCCTCAAGCCGACTATGGACGATGCGAAATCTATAAACACATTAACCATATCTTTTGGGCACGCGCAGAGTAAGGCGCATTCATTTGATCAATCGCTTTTCATTAAAACTAGCTAATAAGAGACAACTTTCGATGGTCCACCTGAGCAAGCACAGCTATCACGTTCGGGTTAGCTGATTTGCATATTACGCGGGGTACACATTTCAACAGTGATTAGTTGGGTGCTTGACGCCACAGCTTACGATTGACGGACGATACGCAAAGTGGGGAGCCGACGCCTACCCTAAATTCTGGTCAACTGTTGCCTAACGTGTACAATAAAACGGCACTCTCAACGAGCTTGACCTGCGGCCGTGGATAGTTTGTACCCTTTAATTTATTTTCTCATTCAAACAATCCGAGCGTGCGCACCCACGCTCCCGACTTTTCTCCGACCAAACGCCAAGGCGCCGAAGTATACGCGTCTATGATGCGTA